TGATGTTTTACCAATCAGTCAACAAATCTCTCTTGACTAAGGTTACCATACTTGAATCACTTGCAAAATGAGCTTTATTAAACATTTACGGAAATGGGCTATTTTTACTATGGTAGCAACAGTTCTGCCCTCGTTTTAATTTTACTTCATTTAGTTTGGAAATTTAAATGTTCTTTTTTAGTTTCCTTTTGCAACTTACTTTGCTTTTCCTGCCTCGAATTCCAATTGAACTCAACTGAGAACTCTTTTAAAGAGAACTGCAGAGGGAGGAGATGAGGAAAAATCTGGTCTAATGATGTACTGTCATCTTTGGAAGGAGAAAGGAAACAAGCTACCTCCAGACCTATTATTTTTAGAGGCTATTGAAGCCAGAGAAGCAGACTTCTCTTGAAATGGTCTTGTGTAAAATGCCCATCTGTTTGTGGATCATTCTCTCACTGATCGCTTGCAGCTTAACTACTGGGAAAAATCAATGAGAGAGAGGCAAGGTCATTCGGCATCAGGTTATCTGCCTGAGTGGGAGGGTAGGCCACAAATAGGTACTGAGCTTTGCTTCTGCTTCATAGCTGCTCCCTGACTGACCCTGGACACATCAATCCCTCTATCTCAGCTATTACATCTACGACATAGATGTGGGAAGAGAGTCAGCACAATCTGCCTACACAGAACTTGAAATCTCAAGTGCAAAATGTTGCCCCTGGAGTCCTGGGGCAACTTTTATAGGTCATACTTTTCTGGTAGGATTTATGAGAACTGAGTTTTTCCTTGTCACTCTTTGAACAACATAACTAAGTATGTGTCCGACACTATGTTTTGCAATTTTAATATGCATCGATTAATTTTATACACATGATTAACTTAGAAGGACCACCACCTCATCTGAGTTGTTGCAGATGGGGAAATGAGCCTCAGAGAAGTGTGTTTCGAGTTGCTGCTGAGTGGTAAACCCTGCCCTCTTTGCTAGACCACTGGTCCTCTATCTTGGCTCCTCACTATAAGCATCTGGAGACCATTAAAGACATAATAAGTACAAACACCCGACCAATGCCTGTACTCTCCCCAAACTAGCTGAATCAGACTCCAGGGCTTCCTTTCTTCTGAAAGCTCCCTGGGAGATGCTAATATGAAGCTTCACTTAAGAACCAGGGTGATAGACCATGCTGCCTCTCCAAAATGAGGGGCAAAACCAAGAAAAAGAAAAGGAATGAGACTAACACTTTTTGTGTATGTTTGTTTTGAGACATTGTCTCACTTTGTTGCCTTCATTAGAGTGCTATGTTGTCACAGCTCACAGCAACATCAAACTCTTGGGCTCAAGTGATTCTCCTGCCTCAGCCTCCCAAGTAGCTGGGACTACAGGCACCTACTACAACACCTGGCTATTTTTAGAGATGGGGTCTCACTCTTGCTCAGGCTGATCTCAAACTCCTGAGTTCAAGCAATCCACCCGCCTTGGCCTCCCAGAGTGCAGGGATTACAAGTGTGAGCCACCTCACCCTGCAAGACTAACACGTATTGAACCCCTACCACGTATCACATATTTAACCTTATCTAATCCTCCCAGCAACTAGAAAATGAGTTCTGTTTTACAGATTTGGAAATTTCTCAAATTTAATCTGAGAGGTAAAGTAATCTCCCCCAAAGTCTTAGAGATGGCAAAAGGGAGATGTGAGCCTGGGCTTGTGTTCACGTCACTATATCACATGGCTAAGAAACACACTTCTAGCCCACAGGACTCAACCAACTCCCAACCTGTGTTCCACAAGAACATTAGAGTTAGAAAAAGTATTCAATTCTGGGCTGGGGGTGGTGGCTCATGCCTGTAATCCTAGCACTCTGGGAGGCCAAGATGGGTGGATAGTGCTGGAGGTCAGGAGTGTGAGACCAACCTGAGCAAGAGCAAGACTCCATCTCTAAAAATTAGCAGGGCGTTGTGGCAGGCACCTGCAGTCCCAGCTACTCGGGAGACTGAGACAAGAGGATCACTTTGCCTAGGAGTTTGAGGTTTCTGTGAGCTATGATGCCATATTACTCTACCAAGGACAAAATGAGACTCTGTCTCAAGAAAAAAAAAAAGAAAGAAAAGACAAGTATTAAACTGTTAAAAGCCAAAAAAACATAGTGCATAGAGCTCTCAGAAGGGAAAAACAGAAAATGGAAGAGGATTGAAATGGATTTAATTATGTTGATTGGAAATTGGGATATGACTAAATGGGGAAATATTTTAATTTTATTTGGCCAGCCAAGAACTGTAAATAGGCAGCAGAAAGTGGTTTGGAAATAAACATACTAGAAAAATGCCAGATCTTCTTATCTTTACTGGTTATTTTGAATTTAGGCACGATAGTCCTGAAGGGAGAGTAAATAACCCGTAATCACAAGTGCTTCCCTCCTGCCCACCTGGGACTCTACAACACCAGCAGACAGGTCCCATTTAATTGCATCTGACCTTGAAATCTTACTGAAATCACTTTCTTTGATGACTCTTTTCACTCTACAACTGTTAGCCCTATAAATTTAGTTTTTAATTGAAATTACTTTTGAAAGTATACAATAATACCATATATGCTTTTAATAAAAAAAAAATTTTAGAAAGTAGGGCATGAAAGTGAAAAGGGGCCAGGTGTGGTGACTCATGCCTGTAATCCCAGCACTGGGGGAGGCTGAGGAGGGAGAATTGCTTGAGCTCAGGAGTCTGAGATTTGCCTGACTTAGAGTGAGACCCCCAACTACTAAAAAAATAAAAAACCCAGCCAAGAGCCACGGCAAGAGCCTGTAATCCCAGTGGCTTCTGGAGGCTGAGGCAGTGAGATGCCCATAGCCCAAGTCTAAGGTTGCAGTGAGCTATGATGCCATTGCACTCTGCTCAGGGCATAGGGTGGGACTCTGTCTCAACAACAACAATGACAAAAGCAAAGAAATAAAAATAAAAAGTAAGCAAGGAAATTTAAAAAGAAAAGTGAAAAGGGGTAACACCTGTAACCACTATCACTAACTTGTGAGAGGCTTCCAGATCTTTCTATGCAGGTGCTAACATACATATCAGTATTATCAAAATAATTTATTTTGCCCAACTATAATTAAATGCTTTGTTGTGACATTCTTCATTATTCTGTTCACTTAGGAGCTGAAGGAAGAGTTTTTTTTAAAGTGAAATATTTACAATTCATTTCCCCAAAAGTATAAGGCATTTTAAATGAGAGTAGAAATAGTCTTTTCTCAATTTGAAATGAGAAATTTTATACCCCCCACCCCCAAGCTACTCTTATACCCTTACACAGAATAAGCAATTAGTAATTTTTGAATGAATGAGAAATTTTTGAATGAATGAGAAATTGTTCCCTTTTGGGGTAGTTTTAGTTTAGGTTAAATAGCTTTAATACCAAGAATAATAGAAACACATGTATCCAAATGTAAATGTTACAAAGTACTCCAAAGAAAATAACAATTTTCATTGTCCCCTGTTTTAAACTATTCAAGACACCATTCACTTGCATTTTTACTACAAGTAATGTATAAAATTAGCTCCCCTTACTTTTTTTTTTTTTTTCCTGAGACAGCGTCTCACTCTGTTGCCTAGGCTAGAATGTTATGGTGTCAGCCTAGCTCACAGCAACCTCAAATTCCTGGGTTTAAGTGATCCTCCTTGCCTCAGCTTCTGGAGTAGCTGGGACTATAGGCACCCACTATAAGGCCTGGCTCGTTTTTCTATTTTTAGTAGAGACGGGGTCTCGCTCTTGCTCAGGCTGGTCTCGAACTCCTGAGCTCAAGGGATCCTCCTGCCTTAGCCAGAGTGCTGGGATTACAAGCATGAGCCACTGTGCCCAGCAGCTCCCCTTGCTTTTTACCATTTTTGAGTCTTTGAGACTTTGCCTCATTCTTTGTCACATTTCACGTATGTATATTTTGTTCTCCCAAATGAATTTTAAACTCTGCAAGCATAGAGAGGTTTCCTTTGATTTTTTTTTTTTATTTTCCCCAGCGTCTGGCACATGCTTTGCACACAGTATATGTTAAATAAATGTTTGTTGACCTTCCTAAATATTTTCACTGTATTAGTTTGCAGGGGCTGCTATATCAAAGTACCGCAGAGGGTGAGTTAAATAGGAGAAATGTCTCACAGTTCTGGGAGCTGGGAAGTCTGAGACTGAGGGGTCAGCAAGGGTTGGTTCCTCCCAAGGGCTATGATGGAGAGTTTGTTCCAGGCCTCTCTCCTGACTTGTACATGGCTGTCTTCTTTTATCTCTTCATGTCATCTTCCCTGGTGCATGTCTGTCTCCTTGTCCAAAATTTTTCTTTTTATGAGGATACAAGTCAGATTAGATTAGGGCCCACCCTAATGACTTCACCTAAACTACTTATATCTGCAGACCCCTATTTCTAGATAAGGTCAGAGTCTGTGATACTTGGGGTTAGGGTGTAACCACTATCACTAACTAGTGAGAGGTTTTTGAAAGTATACAATAATACTTTATATGCTTTTAATTAAAAAAAAGTTTGAGGGCGGTGCCTGTGGCTCAAGGAGTAGGGCACCGGCCCCATATATCAGAGGTGGTGGGTTTGAACCTGGTTCTGACTAAAAACTGCAAAAAAAAAAAAAAAAAAAAGTTTGAGAAAGTGGGCATAAAAGTGAAAAGGGGCTAGGCTCCGTGGCTCACGTCTGTAATCCCAGCACTGTGGGAGGCTGAGCAGGGAGAATTGCTTGAGCTCAGGAGTCCAAGCCTAAGCTAGAGTGAGCCACCCCAATTCCTAAAAAAATGAAAAACCCAGCTGGGAGCCACAGCATGTATGAATTTGGGAGGTATACAACTAAACTCATCACACTAAACTTTCACAGAATCATAAAAATACAGAGTGAGAAGACCCTTTAAAAGTCATTAGTTAGCATTCCTGATAACCTGAACCAATCCAAAAAGAGCTTTCAGACTTTTAAACAGATTTTTGGCAACAAAATTTTAAGGTTCTTTTTGTTTTTTAATGCTTCTCACTGTTCTTTCCAGAATGGTTCCCGCTGCCTAAGCCTCAGAGCCTTCAGATTGTCTGGAACAGGTGAGCACTAGCCTGGGAAGTCATTTCTAAGCAGGTGGAGGATACAGTTTCCTGCGCCTCGGTCCACTGAACACAGGCATGGGTTGATCTGGAAGATGCCTCTCGGATAGTCAACCCCCTGCAAGTCTGTTAGTTTTTCTCTATGAACCATTTTACTTTCACTGAGTTTGGTCATTAAAATTGTTTTGTGTCCCTCAGTCATGCCCCAGGCCCTGAGAACAGGGAATGTTGGCCTGCAAGAAAACCTAGTGGGTTTATTATTCTCTGACACAGAGAAACCAAATAACATCATTGAGTGGCCAATGGGGGGTGGGGGGCAGCTTGATTCATGGAGGTCATGCTTTCCCAGGCCCTCTCTACGCAGTCTCAGCGCAGACCAGGGCAGACTTTTATTACCAGCTTTCAACAAATCCCTAGTTTCTTTTGCAAAGTAAAACAGATAATAGAGACATTCCGGGAATAGTTAGCTAACTAAGCTGTGCCAAGCAACCTCAGGGCTCAGAAGAACTCAGTGTTTTCGGACAATGACCAATTACAATAACCAGTATTATTTGATCTGAGAGTAATTAGCCAAAGCTCTGTTCTTTTTGCTTCAGTGAGGAGGCAAAAAGGGCAGTGAGGAAAACATCAGAGACAGGGGAAACCAGCTCAAATGTCAAAGAAAAACACACTCGCACAGGTGGGGAGATGTGGAAGAGTTTCACCAGCCAAGATCCTAACTGAACGTTTGAATGTTGTTCTTTCCTGAAAGTGTGGTGTGGTTTAACTTGACCAGATACGGCCTGATTGCGTCATACTTAATGTTCCTATGTTTTAAAAAGTCTCCACATAGAGTGTGACTCAGTGTACAAAGAGTAAAGTTGGTCGGGAACATAGAACTACGCTCCATCAAAGGACCTCGTACGGGGGCAGGTCCCCAGGATGCCTGTGCATGCCACTCTTCTTTTCAAAAGCACTGATACAACCCAGAACTCCCCCTTATTTTGCAGACAGGTCCCCAGAAACTGCTGTCTATCATTTCATTCGAGGTCTGCAAACTCTGTTGTGCCCATAGTCAGGCTCCCTAACCTCTAGCTGAAGACATGCGGACTTTAGTGCTGTGGCTTTCTTTCATTGTACTGTTGGTTTCCAAAATAAATGGTGATGCCAAAGCTGCCAACCGCCTTATACTCACCACTGCTGCTGCTGTCGCCACTACCACGTGGCAGAAGATAGCACCACCAGCCTCCTGCTGTCACCCACCAACCCTTCCTTCAGGGGCTGAGCATGGCTTGAACCCTCTGAATATCCCTCTGTTTTTCTCACCAGTCCCTCTGTCCCTTCCCTTGATCCTAGTGCCACATATTCACTTTTTTTTGAGACAGAGTGTCACTATGTTGCCCTCGATAGAGTGCTGTAGTGTCACAGCTCACAGCAACCTCAAACTCTTGGGCTTAAGAGTTCTCTTGCCTCAGCCTACCGAGTAGCTGGGAGTACAGGCGCCTGCTACAACGCCTAGCTATTTTTGTTGTTGTTTTTGTAGCCGTCATTGTTGTTCAGCAGGCCTGGGCCGAGTTCGAACCCACCAGCCCTGCTGTATGTGGCCGGCGCCATACCACTGAGCTACAGATGCCGAGCCCATATATCCATTCACCTTTGCTTAGACTTCTGGTTTCTCTCTGACCATATGCTCAGAACAGGGAGTAATGTCTGGAGCTACACTGTCTAACCATAGCCATTAGCCACATGTGGCTATTTAATTTTAAATTCATTTAAATTAAATTAAAATTTTAGTTCAGTAGCACTAAGTGCACTCTAAGGATTCAATAGCCACATGCAAGGAGTGGCTAGCATACAGGACAGAGCCAAAATAGAATATCCCTATCATCATGGGAAGCTCTATTGGACAGCGCTGGCCTCAACTATCACATGAGAAAATTCTTAGCTAAACAGCTAACCTCAGGTGGGATATGTTCCATGCGCCAAGCAGGGGCTGCAGGTGTTGTTACAGTTAATCCTTACAAATGTCATTCCCAGGACAAAGAGGAGGAAACGGAGGCTCAGAGAAGTAAGGAACTTGGCAGAGGTAGTCCAGCTAGGTAAGGTGAGGATTCATCTGGCACACAGGTCTCTGTGGATGTGTCAGTTAATTCAGGTTGCAGGTGGGGTGAGTTCAGAACAGCTGAGGTGTCACTGGCTTTTCTGCACGCATCCTACAGAGGGGCAGTGGAGCTGTGCACAGGTCTGTAAGTGAATCTCGAGGTCTAGCTCAGGGTTTGAGGATGACCTCATTAACATGGTCCTAGTAAGTGCATACTTTGTAGGTTGGTTGGCAAATTGTAGGACAACTTCTCTGATGTTTCTTCCTAGTACTGGATATGTTTCCTATTGTGGGTATATACTTTACCATGTCGTAAATTGAGAACATTTCTAAAGTGCCTATTTATCCCTGCCCCTTTCCTTTTCCTATGGATTCAGGGGGTAAGGGGGAGGAACCAGCCTATTTGGGCTCAGGGTTAGCAGCCTGTCCTACCTACACCTTGGAGGTCAGTGGCAGCACTGCGTATGGCAGATTTTTATACTCAGAGCCAGGCTGTGCCAGGAAATCAAAACTATCATCTTAGATCCCTAAGAGCAAGCAGATTTTAGGTATGTGTACTAATGGATCTTACATCACTACACATACGTAATCACAAAACTCGAATTTCATTTTTTCTTATTGTTTATGTTTCTATTATGGATTTTTAACATGAAACATAGATGTCCTGGCACCCAGACCATCTTTTAGGATTGATGTACAATTTTAATTCTTTTTATGACTTTCATAAGCAATGGGTCCCATGATAAAAGCTCAGCTGAAATGAATGTGTTATCCTTGCACAGGGATAGGCATTCTCCTGGGCTGTTGGTAGAATGGGACTTGGTACAGCTCTTCTAGCTGACAACATAAGTCAGATACTTTAACATGTTGTACATCCTTCAATCTAGGAATTTAAATTCTAAGAATTTATCATAAGGAAATAATTTCACAAGTATATGTGAAGATTTCTTTTTGAGGATATTTATCACAGCATGATTTTAATAGTACTGCCCCATCCCAACCAAAAAAAAAGAAACAACTCCAATAAGGGTCCAGCTATATAAGTTATGGTATGCCCACATAATGGGTTGCTGTAAGCCATGAAAATTATGTCTTAGGAGGCTATGCAAAGTCATAGGAAGATCATCAACATAGTCTAGTGCAAAAGTGGGTTACAACTACTACATAATTGTATGGTATTATCCCATTTTTTCTTGTAAAACAAAAATATATCTGTGTAAAAATAAAGGACAGAAATAAAAAACAAACACTAAAGAAATGATGATTGTCTTTGAGTAAAGGAGATTATTATCTCAGAACGATGAGATTGTTTTGATTCTCCTTCTCTGTATTTTTTAGGTGTTCTATAATAAGTATGTATTATTTTGGCAATAGAACGCTTCTCACTTTTTTTAAAAAACTATTTTGCTTAGGGACTTTTTCTTTCTTTCTTTCTTCTTTTCTTTTTTTTTTTCTTTGACAGAGTCTCACTTGGTTGCCCTAGGTAGAGTGCCAGGGTGTCACTGTACCTCACAGCAATCTCAAACTCTTGGGCTCAAGAGATCCTTTTGCCTCAGCCTCCCGAGTAGCTGGGACTACAGGTGCCTGCCACAGTGCCCGGCCCACTTCTCACTTCGTGAAATGTTACTAGAAGGTGTGGTTTATCACGGGATTCTTTGTCTCAATTAATTGGGTGGATGGGTTCTCCTAACTCTACGAGATAACTCCTGGACTGTTCACTGGTTAACGTCACAAACCTAACAATATTAATTAACATTTAGTCTGTATGTAAAAGTGCTTGTAGACAAATTAATGCTTGTGATGTTCATTTCTCATACCAACTTTCATTTCTAAAGTAGGGGATGAAACCAGTGGAGAATTATTCCAGTTTGAGTTAAAGGTGGTGGCAAAGTATAGAAATGTGACAACACAGGCAACAAGCAGCAAGCAAGGCTGCAGGTAGCAGGAAGACGCAGAATGATATAAACATGGAAGGTGTCGAGCAGTGACATTCGTACCCAAAGAAGCAACATTTGTATTCCTCGGACTCTTTTCTCAGCTCCCAAATAAGAGTGCAATGTGCAGTAGCAACGCAGTGATCATTAGGGTGCTTGCCAGGGTCCCATAGCGAGCAGCCCTACTCACTACCAGAGCTTCCAGTGAAGGCTTATGTCCAGGAGGCTGGGTTGGCTTATCCAAGGGAGACCAAACTTGGCTCATGGGTTGCGGAGCCTTTGTCCTGGTCACTACCTGGACAAGCTGGAAGAGAAGGAAAACTAGTGTGTGGGAGTCATAGTTCATAGGCTGTGAAGTTGGAGCAATTCCAGAAACTACTAAATGCTCTGATGACACCTTATGGGAAGGATGAGGAAGGTTCTGTTATTTGAAGTAGAAAGTCCTAGAAAAGAAGTCTTTATATCACTGATTGGTACCTACTTTTCTTTCTTTCATTGGCCTAGTTAAAAATTAAAAAAGACCTATTCTTATTTAAAAAACTGGGGGGGGGTCCCTGCAGCACCCATAAACTCTGTCAGCTTTTTCTAATTCCCCAGACACATAGATATAGTCTAAATAAAAACAATATGCCTGCCATGCTGACACAAGTATAAAACAGGTCCCCATCTTTCCCTATCCAATCAGAGTGCAGCATTTAAGCACCCCACTACAGGACAGTTCTGGAACCTTTACTGGGCAAATGGGGGGCAGTGTGCTGAGAGAACAAGCTGTGATTGGTGTGGGAGTATGGGGGTAAAAGGTGGAAGCTGATAGATTCATAGCTCCACACCACCACCACCATCTACACCCACCCCCTGCCACGCCTGGAATTAACAGTTAATCAGAAAGCCTGAAGGCTGCAGAAAGTGATTCAGGCCCTAGCTTTGGCACACAACCCACCCCACCGCCCATTAGTGTGGGTGGAACAGCTAAAATTTCTTCATGAGATTTTCCCTGAATCTCATGGGCTCTAGTGATTGATACCTCCAAACCTCTATTTCATGAGCCCTGGACAGGACACCCCAGATAGAAAATGTAGCTGTCGTTCTTCAAGCCACAGGTGAGCAGACCTCCAACAGATTCCTTTCTCACCTAACTGGCTTGGAAATTTGCAAGGACTGGGGATTTGCAAATTTCCTTTCTATCTTATCTATCTATGTAGCAATTACTCCTGAGTTTTAGGGTAGTTATCTATTTGCAGAAACAGTTTTGTGTCATGGGATTCAGATACCTGAAAGTTTCTTATGCAAATATTATGCAAAATTTAGGCAAATTACAGTTCTGGGCCAGGACTTCCAGCATCCCTGCATCATGGTACCTGGAAAGGGAAAGAATATCTTGTTCTTTCTTACTGTAAGCTGGTGTGTGTATTTGACATTAAGTAAGCCCATCTCTTTTTGCTTAACTGGGGATTTGCTAAGTTTTTTCATGACCATGCAACTTAATTCTGAAAGTCAGACATCAATTCTGTGGTTAATTGCCTTCTGGGATCTAGAAGGTATAGTTTTCCCTTTTGTGGTTTTCCACTTATAAACCTACCTGTGGGTTGAAGAGATGGCTTTACTTAAATTATTGGCACTAGACCTTTAAACGTAAATAAATAGGAAACATGAAGACCCACAAGCCACCTTCTCCAGCTTCATATCAGGCCCTTTTCCTAACTTTGTGCTGGGCCACCCTATCATCCTTGATTTTGTTCTTTTAAAACTCACTCCTCTCCCTTCCACCCCAGGGTCCATATGAGGCCACAGACCTCTGTCAGCAATGCTTGCCCCTTGTCTGCCCCTAGTTCTTCAGTTCTCAGCCCACATGGCAATTTCTGAAGAAAGCCTTCCCAGGCTGGGCATGGTGGCTCATGCCTATAATCCCAGCACTTTGGGAGGCCAAGGCAGGTATATCCCTTGAGCTCAGGAGTTCAAGACCAGCTTGAGCAACATAGTGAGAGCCCATCTCTATCAAAAATTTAAAAAATTAGCCAGCATGGTAGCATGTACCTATAGTCCCAGCTACTCAGGAAGCTGAGGTGGGAGGATTGCTTGAACCCAAGAGTTTGAGGTTGCTGTGAACTAGGCTGATGCCACAGCCCTGTAGCCTAGGCAAGAAACAGAGTAAGACTCTGTCCCCTTCACCCCCCAAATAAAGAAAACCTTCCCTCTCTACCTCCCTCAGGCATCAGGCTTTCATAGTTAAGGCTATTATATTAAAAGACCTTAGAGCAGTGGTTTTCAACCTGTGGGTCATGACCCATAGGATCTGTATTAAAGGGTTGTGGCATTAGGAAGGTTGAGAACCACTGCCTTACACTGAGTAATCTATAAGCCCATGGAGGTTTATTTCTCACAGTTCTGGAGCCTGTGAAGTCCAAGATCAAGATGCCAGCAGATCTGGTGTCTGGTGAGGGCTCTCTGATTCACAGATGGTACCTTCTTAACTGTGTCCTCACAGGGCAGAAAGGGCAAGGGAGCTCCCCCAAGCCTATTTTGAAAAAGGCACTAATCCCCTGGGCAGCACCTGTGGCTCAAGGAGTAGGGCACTGGCTCCATATACTGGGGGTGGTGGGTTCAAGCCCAGCCCCGGCCAAAAATGCAAAAAAAAAAAAAAAAGGCACTAATCCCCTTCATGAGGTCTCCACCCTCATAACCTGATTGCTTCCCAAATGCCCTGCCTCCCATACCATCTCTTTGGTAATTAGGATATGAATGTTGCGGGGGGGGGAGGGGGGACACAAATGTTCAGACCATAGTAGGGGTCTTCTCTTCACAGTTGTACTTACACATTTGTGGTAAGTCGATGAGCGACTGACTCCTCTGCTAGACTAAGCTACCAGAAGTCAGAGTCTTGCCCTGTATCTCCCTGAGCCAACCTCCTACTAGCACATAGTAGTTACTCAATAAATGAATTTGTTATCTCCAAATATATAATTCAATTTGAGGTCAGCTTGAGTGAATACTTACTATGATTTGAATACTTAATTATCTCTCTTCTTCTGCTCCACCTCGGGGGAACCAAGAGAGCTTCTTAACTAACAACCCTGGGGACTAAGCTTCAGAAACACTATAAATAAGCATATTTCATACCTAAGCTTCACCCTCTCCCCCTCTCCCTTTACCCTTCTCCGGGATTCTATGCTTGCCACCCTTGGAGTCCAGAGCCTGGAACATACTTTCAATTAGGCTTTTCTCATGGTCAGGGCCATTGTGTCCCTCCATGAGAAATCCTTAATTATATATTTCTGCTTCATATTTGTACTTCTGTGTCTTTTATGTGAACACAATGCCCACAGTGGAGGGCAGGGGAGCTGAATGACAGATGCAGAGAGGTTTCTCCTTCATCTTAAGTAATAGGACAGGTAAGAGTTTTTAGCAGGAGGGTTATTTTCCCACTTGCCATCAACTTTCCCAGGAAAATTCTACTTAGAACAATCTTCCACCTCTAGCCCATCTCCTTTTCTTTACTTTTTGCTTTTCTGCCTTTATTTTTTAGAAGGCTCCTGGCAAAACTATTTTTCTCTCCTACTTTTCAGGCTGGGCGGAGTTCCTGAAGCCGAAGACCTGGCTTCCCAAATGCTGAAGGGCTTTCCTAGAGACCGTGTCTCTGCCCAGCAAGCACTTGTTCACGATTATTTCAGCGCCCTGCCATCTCAGCTGCACCAGCTTCCTGATGGTAAGCGAGTGTGTGTAAGTGTGTGTCTATGTGTGTTATAGTACGTACGCATTAAGTATCGTTGTCGTAGCATTTGCACCCAGGAGTGAAGTTAGAGATCATTTTGCCTGGGAGAAACAAGATGGGACCCAATCTTGCCCGAGGTTTGCATAATATTCTCTCACTGTAAAGCACTGGTGGGGGAGAGTTGATTGGAGCCCCTTGTAATGATCGAACATTTCGCATATACACGCTGACTCTGAGAAAGGGGACAAGATGAAGGTTGACTCTGAGTTGTTTGCTTGAGCTCATCTGCTAGGAGAAGCAAAACCAAAGTTTCTCACAAGCCCCTTGTCTCTCTGTGGAGGGTAAGATGATCGGTGACATGGATATGTCGTGAGAGCAGAACTGGGCCCTCCTTGATTGGTAACATGATGCTGCAGAAGGAAGCCCCCCTGAGGTGGGCCTGGGGGAGGTTCCCAAGCTGGCCACCCATGGAAACACAAGTTACCCTGACATCAGCCTTTGCTGCCTGGGCCTGAAGTCACCCTCCCAACCTGAATGTGCCAAGGGATTGTGTGGTCGAAGCTCTCTGAGTGTTTCTCAGAACGTGGGCAAGGAGGGCTACAGGAGGATGTGGGCAGTGTGGTCATGGGAGGACTGTCCTTAGGTGGAACTTCTGTGAAAATATCCACCATTCAACCAAAAATAGGTTTTAGAAGTCCCAAGTCAGAGAAAGAAAGCTAAGGAGGAGTGCCTAAGGGCTCGGCCTGAGAGGATGGCATGGGGAGGGGCTGGGGGCATGGGCCTGGGCGCAGTGGGACAAGGGTAGGGGCAGGGCCAGGAGCTACTGCCCCAGAGGCATAGACACAGTCTGGCCCACCCAGCAGGGTTTGCAGACTGGGACACTGTCCTGTAGCAATACCAGGCTCCTAGTTTGGGACTTTGAGGTATTTTATTATTAAAGTGAGTCATTTAGGATCTCCAAAAATAGCCAGAATCATACAACCGGGTTAATGTTTTACTTAACCCTGTAAGACGAGTCAGTCATTAGTATTTATTAACTTACCCGTTAAGTGTCAAGAACTTATTAAGTGCTATAAAAAGTTAAGGAAAACAAGAGGCTTGGCCTTGGCCTCAAAGATTGTACAGAGTGGGAGGAAAGGAGAGTGAAGAAGAGGAAACAGGGCACCCTCGTACATGTATCAGCACAAATCACATCTAAACAGCTAAAATCTGCGTGTAATCAGCTGCAGATGTGCAGAGACCAGTGGAGGAAGGAGGATACTTCAAGTGAGATGAATTGGACTAGAGGAGACTCTGAAGTGGACATTGGAAGGCGAGAAGGACACGCTTTGGCGTGTGGGTAGGACCAAAGAAGTTGCAGGCCACAAACCTATAATTCTCACTCCCTTCCTTGTACCTCTGTCCCCATTTCAGCTGCCCCCCCATCCCAGTACTCTCTCTCAGGCCCTGGACTTTCCTTCATAGCTTTCTCCTCTCCCACTTAATGCAAGTACACACACACACACCCCTTCTCTTCACTTAAAGAAACCTCCCCATTGGCCCCCCTGCCAGATCCATTATTCTACATACTGAGAACCACTGCAGATCTTCAAAGTTTTCTGGGCACCAGCTTTTGCCTGACAAAGGGTAATTAGAAAGAAACAACCAACTGTCCAAACTGATGTGTTGTTAGAAGCTTAAGTTTTGATTTTCTTAGCTGATCCGAAGCAAAGCCACCTAGAGAGTGGCTCTGGTGCATGTATGTCCCAGGGGTGTGTGAGTGAGTGTGTGTGTGTGTGTCGCGCACATGCGGGTGTGAGAAAGAACGATCTGTATTCCTCCTCTGTTCACCCAGTCACAGAGCCCAAATCTACTTTGACACTTTTAGAAAAATGAAAAGATGGAATCTTGCAGGAGCCTGCCTGCACTGGGGGGGAGATGAGGAGTGCTCACAGCAGGAGGGAAGTTGACTTTTCTTTATACATATAGGGGTTTTTCCATGCAGAGTTTAAATTATGCCTGATAAAAGGAGTTTCGTGGATGTTTCAGTTCTTTCAAATTCTCCTGGCTTCCTCCCAATTAAATGAGGTTTGTCAAAGCCACAGGGCTCTGCTGCTGCTGCCTTGGCGGACAAGCACTTCCTGCAGCGACATCTCGAATCCCTGAGGGAGAAGATGAAAGGGCTGGGCGCCAAGAGACAGGGGAGGGGGGGCAAGACTGGGTGTGTGTGCGCGCCTGTGTATGTGCGTGTGCCTGTGCATGCACGTACACACTCTTGTGTATGTGTGTGGTGGGGGACGGGATGTAGAAATACGTATAGAGGCACACTGACACTTAGAACCAGTAGACAGGAAAAGCAAATCCACCCGGGAAGAAAAATAGAGGAAAAGAGAAGCAGCGGGCTGGTGTGTGCACCTTCATGACAGTGGCCCTCACCAAAGGCACATTATCTACCCAGGGATGCATTCCCTCCGCCTGGCAGTGCCAGCCTGCTTTTTCTTTGCTCCTGGCAATGAGTGTTTATTAAGAGCCTCCTTTGCAGACTGAGCGCACCAGTGGGTAATCACAGTTCCCAACCTGCAGGGACATAGAATCTCCATCCCACAGGAGGGCTGCCCCAGACAGGAGGATTGTGCAGAAATAAGACACGCTCTTCTGAGTGACTTGTAAGGAGAGGCTCTCTGCCATAATTGTGCAAGAAATTTTGCTCTCTGGTGGTATTTCAGTATGGAATCATTTAGAGGCTCATATTTATATCATTTTATTATTCTGGATTTATTCTGGTTGCAGCTTAACAGAGTTGTCACTTTAAAATATATTCTGTTTCCCCTTTGATCTGGAAGATGCCAGCTCTTATTGTCTGGCCTCCGAAGAAGACAATTGAAGCATAAAGCCTAGGACTGGGAAATATATGGAGAGTGGAAGGGCAGCCTAAATCCCAGAGGAAGAATGGCACAGAAATTCCCCCACAAATGCTAGAATTGCTTCCATCCATCTGCGTCTATGCTCATGAAGCTGAGACGTCCTGAACGACATTTTCCCTGGGTTGTGGCAATAAGCCTAGAGCCAGAGGAAATTTATCAGGGGGTTATTTGCCATGAAAACCAGGAATTCCGGGATTAGTTCCCTTTTGGAGAGCATTCCTGAGTGGAAAAGTGTGAATATCAGAATGACAAGCATGTGGAAACTTCTGCCAAGTTCTGACATTTTCCCTTATTGACTCACGAACACCTGAAGAAACACTTGTTGAAAGAGAAATTATTGGTAGTCCCTCTCAAAACACACCCAACAGCAAGCTAATTGCTTTTGCAGATGGCCAGGGAGCAGTTCTTCTCACTCAGACACCAGCTTAAGGCCACACTTGTGGTCCTCATGGCTGAGCCAGCAGTGCAGGATGTCAGCTGGGGCAGCTAGGACCTAAAATTAGGCCCTTGGCAACTCTCTAATCTTAGCTGCAGGTTCAGCTTCTTCGTTTAATTCCCCTTGCCCTCAGCATGAACTTGGGCTCTGGGAAAGGAACACTGTTTAATGATTTGGGGATTGGGGGGGGGTAGAAAATCATTAAGCTACCCCTTCTAGAAACTGGCTCCACTCCGTTCATGTAGGACGCCTTCCAAATGTTACCCTTGGAAAGTTAAGACCAATTTTGGAAACTAGCCATTTTGAACTACAGATGCTGATCCAGAAAAGTATTTTTTATCTGGGTAGTAAATGCCACGTGATTTAAGAGTCTGGTCCTTAAGCCACAGTCCTTGATCCTCGGGACATCAAAGGCGCTCTCTTCTCTCTCTCTCTCTCTCTCTCTCTCTCTCTCTCTCTCTCTCTCTCGGTTGGTCCCATTTTCCTAGCCAAATCTCATGCTTGAATCTCCCATTCCTTCCTAGACTAAATCCCCTTCTCTTTTAAAAACAGCTTTTAGCATTTTAGGGGAAAGTATCTTAAAATGTAGAAGCTTGCCATTGTTTCACAAGTAACTTTGCAAAAATGATGTGCCATAGGCAGCATCGTTACTGTCTGCTTACATATACATAGGGGTGGAAGAAGGCTGGCATTTACCTCTACTGTTCATCACACCACACTAGTATCTACACTCCGAAAGTTTCTCAGCAGGCCTCACTCACATTGCCCTATTAAAATCTTAGTAATATTTTGTTTTCCTCCCATAAAAGAACTTCAGGCCTTCTTTGATTGTTATCTCCTTAATAATTTTTTTTTTTTTGAAAGAGTCTCACTCTGTCACCCTGGGTAAAGTGCCTAGGTGTCATAGCTCATAGCAACATCAAACTCTTGGACTCAAGTGATTCTCTTGCCTCAGCCTCCCAAATAGCTGGGACTGCAGGCACCCACCAGCATACCTGCTACTATGCTCCGCTAGTTTTCCTATCTTTAGTAGAAACAGGGTCTTGCTCTTCCTCAGCCTGGTCTCAAGCTCCTGAGCTCAAGCAATCCACCTGCCTTAGCCTCCCAGAGTGCTAGGATTACAGATGTGAGCCACTGAGCTCACCCTTCTCCTTAATAATTTGATGATCCCTTTGCTGTTACTTCTCTTAAATCACTTCTTTAGGCTTTCACCTTTTTTTGTTTCCAAATATAAGTCCTGCGTCTCCCACTTCTTATTTATTTCATGGTTCTATTCTGAATCCCTTCCAAGTATTTTACATATCTCTGAGACTCTGCATGCTGCATAGACTTGGGTTTCTAGAATTATGTTCCAGTACATTCAGTGAAGATTTGCTGAGTGTCTATTAGGTGTGATAGTGGAGGACACAAAAACGGATCAGTCATAAACCCTGTCCTCAAAGTGCTTACAATCCTTAAGGAAATGAGACAAGTATATAAACAGCTGCAAATCAAACAAGCACATATCAAGTGTTCTGAGTGTTCAGAGGAGGTGAAATTAATCTATTTGTGGGCATCCAGGATGATTTTGTGAGCTGGTATTGAAAGATGAAGGGTCTGAATGGTCGAGGAGGAAGGGTGTTCAGGGGAGGAATGTCTTGCTCTTCTTAATATGT